AAGGTTAACAACTACGCATTCTTCTTCTTTTAACTTGTGCAGATATAGTTAATTATGTCAATTATTTTTATAAAAGAAAATTTCAGAGGTTGTGTTGATGACCAGTATTATCATCTCATTAATGAGATGTGTTTGGTTTAAGCATTTTCAGTGAATGAAATTGTGGCTATTTACACACGTGTGTGTGAAGGTGAACTGGATCGAAACGCTGCAATTTAATAAATCTATTATCTATGTGGGAGTTCATTTTAAATCACATACTTTACAACTTAAGTAAAATTGAGACATAGAGTTTGGTAAAGCAAAGATTAAACACTCACACATGAACTGCTGCACTAACACCTAGTGTGGTAGGAGGACACCTATGCAAGTCAGGCTTTGAAAAGTATTGATGTCTCTTTGGGATTAAAAATAAATCATTTAAAGCAGTGGTTCTTAACCTTGTTGGAGGTACCGAACCCCACCAGTTTCATATGCGAATTCACTGAACCCCTCTTTAGTGAAAAATAAAATATGATTTTTTTCAAATTCAAGACGTAGATATATTTTTTACTGGTGTACAAAATGAGCCGTGCATGTCACGGCGGAGGCTCTGCCCAAACCCCTGAGACTGACTCACCGAACCCCTAGGGAACCACTGATTTAAAGGCGGGCACGGCTCATTTTAAAGGAGGATCTCACTGAAAAAAACAAATGGACTTGTGTTGAGGATATTCTGCGCTCCACCAGTGACCCCCAAACCAAGTGTGCGGTGAGTTCATTAATCCATTTCTACACCTTGAGGAAATGCCTCTCCTGTTTTGTGCACTTGGTAATCTAACCCTATTAAAATCTGAGCCATGAAACAATTGCAAGAAAACCTTCTGAGCAAATGAAGGGAAAAAAAGAAAGAATAATTTGCATGTATGAGTTTACTACATCATCAGATTTACTACATCAGGTATTTTTTGTGTAGCTAGCAAAAGTTTTCCCGGTTTATTAATTATATCAAACTGCCTCTTACATGTCTTCAATGCATCATCTTAAATGTGAACTCAACAGGTTTCTTACTGAGAGCCACTATTCTGTGGACCGTGTCTTTTTTCCACATAACACACACAAAAAAAGTGTGTTCAAACATGTAACCGCATCTTTAAAACAAATATGAGCAGAGGGACAGACTTTTAATTATAAAATTATTATGATAAAATTATTTTTATTATTAAATTATTCTTTTTT